TGAATGAGTCGAATTTTGTCACTTCTTGCTGCAAATACTTCATTATTGTCAGAAAAGAAGGAAATAATCAGAAAATTATATTTTTTTGCGTTTTTGACTTAAAACTTTTAGTTTTGTGCTCGGCTTTTGCGAAAACCTTACTAGTTTTCGGGGCAAAACCGGATAAATTTATTTTAGTTTTTATAATTGGAAGCCGACTCGGTAGTTGTTTGCGTGTAAGATGATGGAGATTCTGGAGGTGAGTTGGAGCTTCTCGAGGAAAATGTAAAGAAGAAAGAAGCACTCCCAGTCCCAAAAAAGTTGGGCGGAAGATCGATGTTTGCATTTGTGGTTGTGCCTTGTTTGTTTTATTGCCTCTTACAAACCTCATGGTGTGCCTTCAGTCTTTGTACTATGCCTTGAATCTCTTACACTATTTGCAAGTTGCTCTGCATCCTTATTAGACTTATTAGAAGAGGTGGTTTTGATCTCTTCTTTTCTTCCAGCCATTGCGTTCTTTTCAAACTGACTTATTATTATTACACAAACACAAAAAATCTACACACTTTTCAACATTAGCCTCTCTTGAAATTTTGTGACGAAATGAATAAGAGCGAAGAAAGGCGACGGCATTTATAGATTAGGCCGGGCAACGTGCGAAAACGAGTCGCGGGCCGTTGCGACAAGAATTTTCCGTCGAAAATGGGTTCGGACAAGTATTGAATCGGTTCAACTTAGCTTGAATCTTCTCGGCAACAATTACAATTACTTTAAAACAGCTAATTAAGCGGATTTATCATATGATTTAATAAAAATAAAAAAAGTCATGATTTTTTTGGTTAATTTAAATAAATCAGTGATTTTTAATTTTTTTAATAAAAATCAATTTTTGCCCAACACTGCATCATATCCAAATCAAATTCATTCCTGGGTTTCAGTCATTTATTGTCTCTATTTATCACTTTAAACCTAGGATTGACAAGTTAGACACGCCTAATGTAATTTACAAAATAGACTGTTTGAATAGACTGAAAGACTGAAAAAAAAGAATATACGAACATAAGAATAGCCAAAGAAAAAATAACGAAAATGGTACAGCATTAGCACAGCATGCACAACAGAACTTGCATAATTTTGATTTTGATAACACACAAATACTGATTAACGAGAGTAATTACAATAAGAGAAGAGTCCATGAAATGATACAGATTAAAAAAACATAACAATGCTGTGAATTTCAGATCGGATACCGACAATCTTACCTCAGTATATCATACATTAATTAAATGAAATAAACATAAAACATTAACTAACACCCGGTATATTGAAGAATTTTGCATACTAAAAATAATATCCTCAGAATGCAAAGAAAAATAGCTGAAAGTAAAAGAAATCAATATAAACAGTATTTTATTCGTTTTGTGTCCGATAATGGACTAAATTAATACTCCAAATGCATGCCAAGGCTTAAAGCAGCAACAACGCTACACATGTAAGTAAACATATTTAAGTACATGAACGAAGAATTCTAGTCTGTTCCCAAATTTGATTGTCCTGACTAATCACCTGTCAGGCCTAATTAATTTTAGAATGTTTTAAAGTATTGCAATTGTCATGTATTTTTTTTTAATATGTGATATGATGAGGCTGTTGACGAACTGTGGTTGTTTTTTAAATTAATGACGATTTTTTTTAACTATCTGTTATTTTAGAAAATCTGACGATGGTGGAAAAATACACCGAAACGTAAAACCCAGGAATGAATTTGATTTGGAATTGAAACACAGTCAGGAAAGTATATACACTGCATCATATCCAATCATGGACCCGAATACACTTTTTCATGCTAAGTTAAATGCTGTCGGACTTTTGTTTTTGTTGAACCCACTTTTCGCACGTATTATGTGTTTTTGCGAATAAATTTACGGCGTTTCTGTTTGCCCATTTCTACTTTTCAGATAAGTACTCCTGTAAATATCATGTCTATAAAACATGAAGAACTTGGGTACTTCCATGTCAATTTCCAGGCCTCTTTCCCATTAATACCACGATTCCAGGATGACTAAAAACGGATTTTCCTTTTTCGTCCACTATTTCTATCGTGTGTTTTTTAAACTGACGTTATTTTACTGTTATGTTAGAGAGTTTATGTTAGTGTAAACTCCAAATATATCCTAAGCGTGCTTTTGAAAAACAATATCATTTAAATGTCCTCCACGGTATCTCCTACAAATCTGAATAAAATTATTTGGTTTTTGTGCCAAATTCGAAGCTGAAAAAGGAATTTTGTCACTTGTTGCTGCAAATACTTCATTATTGTCGGAAAAGAAGGAAATAATCAGAAAATTACAGTTGGTTCGCCTTGAACCGATTGACCGTGACCAACCGTCCAAATGAACCCAACAGCAGACATCACACAACGAAATATATAGACTCCGAAAAACCCATAACAAGTCCTTGAAAAATCACAATGCTCTCAGTCTATTAAAATTTTTAGGCCAACATATTATAACTGTATCTACCTATTTATATCAGACTAAGCCGGTATGGTAACGGGACAGAAATTTGGACCAAGAAAACCGCCGTCACCGTCTTCATTTATGCATTCGCTCTTTATTGTCCTGAAGTAAAAACCGAAACAAATCGTCTTCGAAAAATCTTACGTCATTCCAGGTTGACGTAATTGAGAACCAGCATGTTCTAGAAATAGAATTGAAAGATGAACAATAAATTCAAGCAATAGTGAAAGCTAATAGGGCAACAAACCGTGGCAACCACCAGCGTGTAAACATTGTTGAAAAGAACCTTGTTCATGGGTCAACTGTCCATGGGCAACTAATTCAAGGATATTCTTGAGGGTACCGTACTCTGTCATACACAACAAGAACCGGATATAATTTGTATATAGTATATCATTGACCGTACTGCTTTAGGACTTAATCCCTAAGTCCCTCCCTCCACTGCTTGTTCATGGTCTTTTAGAGCAGGTATGGGCAACCTTTGACATGTTGAGGGCCAAACCTTAGCGTGCAAATACGTTCGCGGGCCGCGTACGTAGGTAAAAAAATTAATATTAGGACTATCTTCAAAACTGAAAATACAATTAGAAATAAAATTTAAGTAACAAAACCTCATGACATAATTGAAAATTCAAAAAATGTAATTTATAAAATTCCTTGCGAAAGCAATAAATTCTATATAGGAGAAACCTCAAGACCATTACACAAAAGACTCAAAGAACACCAATCATACATAAGAAACAGAGAATATCATAAATCACACATTTGTCAACATGCATTTGATAATTGCCATAAAATTCAATGGAATAATTCCACAACTTTAACAAAAGAACAATCCACAAAAAAACGTAAAATTAAAGAAAGCGCACTAATTTTACTAAATCAAAATAATTGTGTTGCTTCATGTTCATTTAATTTAAGTCATACATGGTTACCTATGCTAAAATCTGAAGTAGACCAGAGAAACATACACCCAAATTAAATTTACACCAAAATTATTAATTAACATTACCTTTACTAATTTAAACAATGAGATTAAGTCAAAGTCACATAACTGACAATTTGCAGACGAATTATCAGAGCGAATTTTCATATACTGTATTATCCTACTATTGTTACACAATTTATTAACATAGTAATATCTTTGATATTGTGCAACTAATTATAATTAAGCACATTCCACTGTATCATGTTCCACGTTCATCGCAAAACGCGAGAATGTCGACTTCGCATTTTGTTGCTAATAAATAGGCTAAGTTAA